TTTGAAGTAGCAACTTCAAATCTAAGCCTCAAACTCGAGATAGCTCCCAAACAAGCTAATAAATCCCAAACCATCCACCATTCATGAATCAATAATGAAATAGCTTAAGGAGGAGGTTCCTTACCCCTGAAATGTTCCCAAATAGAAGTAGATTCCAAATCTACCCAAGCCCCTTGATGATGGCCTCCAAATCCCCAAGCTTCTTACACCAAATTTCTCTTCCAATCTCTAATTCTTCATCAATGGAGTCACACACACGAGATGAGGGTTTCTGGATCTCAAATGGGTAGCCAAGAGGCTGAAGGTGGGTTATAATGTGCTTTATATAGGGCACAACCCCCCGGATTAGGGTTTTCTCCCTTCAGCACCAACTCGCCGAGTTGGTCACTTAACACGTGACTAGAACCGCGACTCGACTCGCCGAGTCTACCCATCAACTTGCCGAGTCGGCCTTCCTTATTTACACTAAGAACCCTGAACTTGCACTTCTGAACTCGGGGTGTTACAATTTTCCCCCATGTCAACAGGGTCGAAGGCACCCATGTCGGCCGTTCTATTTGGATTGTTATCCTAGTTATCGCATGATGATATGCTTAGTGAAATGTAAGGTCGGTATGTTGGTATATAGTATGATGCTATGTTAGTAACTTGTAAGGTCGATATCCTAGGTATATAGGTTGATGTTATAATTAGTGATCTATAAGATTGGCCTGACTCTTTGTATATGCTAGCTAGCGTTTGATATATATATGTGTTGATTGTATGTTTGGGGGTGGGTTGAGGTGATCCTACTTTGTGCTCTAGGTCAACATACCCAGGGCAGCCTGGATAAACTGAGGGCGATCCAACCAGGTCGAAGGCCCGGAGAACCGTCCAGACAGTCTTAAGGCCCTATAAGGTGGACCATTCATACGGCATATTCTATATGCATGTTGTTTGTTATGATATGATTATGTTTTGTAAGGCGTTGGTAGTTTGGGGGAACTCATTAAGCTTCGAGGTTATAATTTTGGATTTTGTTTCAGGTACTTCGGTTGATTGCGAGAAGGCAAAGGCTTGATCGTGCACCTCCTCGCATTTGATGATTTTGATTTTTGTGATACTCTGCTATGAAACTATTTTGAAAACATTTTGTAATAAATAATAGTTTTTGGATGCTTGAAAAGGATTTAAACTTTTATGAATTTTATGGATGTTACAGTAACAGTGTGGCTGATCGAGTAGCACAACCTAACCATATTGTTGGATCTGCAAAACATTTGAAGATAGCTTTTGATTTGGTAATCTTTTTAATGGTACATCAATGTTTATGTTTATGTGTATATTTGACATTTTATGGTATTTATGGAAAAAAGGAAATTAGGACGTGATCCACCCCATAGTGAATTGTTCCTGTATACACACATGAAGAATCACGATGGAATCATTTTCACAAATGAAAAAGATAGACAAATTTATTTAATATTCATTTTAGTGCAATTAAACTTTTATATTGTAGCTAGTCCATAATGTCATTCATAATTTTTATATCTTTTAACTTATATTATTTTTATTTTGTAGGCATCCTATATAGAAACACAGGAAGAGTTAGAAGCTAAAGGTGCTGAATTTGAGGAAAAACTATTTACTGATGTTGTTGGTGGTCATGACAAAAAAAAAAGACTTCATGGATTAGGATCTTTTGCAAATGTGGTTCCCTATATTAATGGTGAAACGGATATATCTTACATTCCGGAAAAAAATGATGAAATGGAAGAAATGAAGGAGCGTGTTGCTAAACAAAAAGAGCGAAATGAAGAGCTTAAAGAAATAATGAAGTGCCAAGAAGAAAAAAAAACAACGCAAAAGTCGGACAACTTGAAAAACAACTTAAAACGACAATAGATCTTATTAATGTCATTACAAAACAACACTAGTAGGTCATAAAATGTTGATATGTTTATTGCAAAGTATTTATTTTAGATTAGTTACTTTCCATTTTCCATGTAATAAATAATTATTTTATTATTTTATGATATAATGTTATTCAATTTTTTTGTTATTTTTGTTTTTCATATATTACTACAAAATAATATGGATTTTATTTATAAATCAATTATTCATCCATCCATATGGAATCTGCTATATAATATACACCGCGAAAATTTCTAGGGATTCACCACCACAAAATTTGCTAGAAAGTCATCAAACGGAAGTTGCTAGGGAATGATCACCACTAAATTTGCTATGGATCCACAACCATGGAATTTGCTAGAGATTCAGTACAACGGAGTATGCTAGGGAATCACCACCGCAAAATTTGTTAAGATTCATCACCACAGAATTTGGTAGGGAATCACCACTGTGAAATTACTAGGGATTCACCATCATAGAATTTGATAGGAAATCATTACCATGGATTTTTGCTAGGGATTAACTACAACGAAATTTGTGACGGAAGAACTACCACATAATTTGTAATAGAATCCTACTATGGAATACACGACTGAATACCATCTAGAGCGGATTTCATTCCGTTGTCACAATTGCGTCGGAATAATTGTTTTCCTAGCAAACTCTCGCTACGAGGTTTTTTGCGATAGAAATTGGTCGTCGCAAATTTCGTCACTATTCGTCTTTTGCAACGGAATATCAGCTTTTCGCAACAGATTACTTCCCTAACAAAATCACGTTTTTCTTGTTGTGAATGTAGTTCACGTATATTCTTTTACAAGTCGAAACACTATACGCATATTCTTTTACAAATCGAAACACTATGAATGAACATTGGGGATCATTTAACGGCTTAGGATGTTGCATTTCTACCTTGAAATGGTAAAATGGTAATTACTTAGCCATTATTATATTTCAAAACTTTATTCTTCAAGCTAACAATAGTTGATCCTAACTCTTTCTACACAATAATCAATAACTTTTTGTAGTTCAATACAGGGAAAAAAAGGCTGAGAAATCGTTTATCTTGTGTACAGTGTTTGTCATTATTATTAACTATTTGATTTTTTATTATGCAATGACTTATCTCTTATTATCTTCGTAATTATTTTATTCCATCATTGTGGAATTTTTCATCTAATTTCATGACATATTATCATTTATATGCGGCAACCTATTTTTTCAGTGTGTGAAGTAATAAGTGACGTTTTGAAAAGATGATCAAATTAAACAACCATCTTACATGAAAGAAAGTACAACTAAATGATGGTTTTCATCACTTTTCATGATTGTAATTCACAACTTTATCTTGACTACAATTTATGGTTGTTATTTTGAGTTTTGACATATATAATAAATTAATAAAGTATATCATAAGATTATATATAATATTTTCATTTTTATTGTTATGGTGTAATTAAATTAGTGTTATATATAAATAACAATTTTAGTATGTGAAACAATGGTGCTACAAATGTGTTAAACCATATATCTATATTTGTAGGGAAAAAAGTGATAGCGTATATTATTAATTTTAAAAATAAGGTTGTTTTAGATAGGTGGAATTGTTACATTTTTGTTTCTAAAATCATAATACGGTTGCATTTGAGTGTAAACAAGGTTGCTTGTAACTAAAACCATAATAGGGTTAATAATGTAAACTTTTCTACGTTCAAATGCAACATTTATATGATTTTATTAAAGAAAATTGCATTTTTCTTTAATAAAATCATATAAATGTTGCATTTGAACGTAGAAAAGTTTACATTATTATAACTAAAACTATAATAAAGGTTTCATGTAATTAATTACGTGAAGAAAATGATCATTTGAAAATAAGAAAGTTACATTTAGATTTCAAAAAGGTAGCATTTGTTTAAACTTGCAAGCTTTCATGAAAGGTTGCATTTTCTAACAAAACTGTTGTTTTAGGTCCAAAGTACATTTTCAAGGTTTAATGCACATTTTTATCAATGTTGCCTTAGTTTCGTTGTTTTTTTTTATAGTTATTGTTTATTTAATAATCATATAACTTTGTTTGAACATTTTTTTATAGTTATTGTTTATTTAATAATCATACAAACCAATGTATTGCAACGGAAAAGATAGGAGATGCAATGAAGACGACACAACTTTAAAGAGCCTATTGTTGAATTCATGAGACAATTTTGTAGCCATCCTGGCAATCTGTCAAATGACTCTTAGCTTGCTGTGCTTATTATATGCTTTAGTATAATTGTGGTTTAGACAAAAATGTGAAGAGTAGTGTTACATGGAATAATTTTTATGGTTTTGCATGTTGAACTAGAGAAATAAGATTTATGGTTGAACTTGTAAACAAGACTATGTATTGAATTTATTTTTTTCATTTTGAGCAGAAAAATAGGATTTTTTTTTTTTTTTGTGTTTTTTCCTCTGCTTTTTATACTTCATTTCTAGCAATGAAAAAAACTGTCACTAAATTTTGATATAGAAACTTTCAGAGAAAGCTTATGTCGAAAATGCAGCAAACATGTATCGCAACTTCTAAAACCTAAATTCCTTCAGTAATGTCTTTGGAATTTTCCAACAAAATTTTGTCGGAAATTTGTCACTAATTCCATTGGAAATAGATTCCCACGCCCAATAGAGGTGTTGGATGATAGTGAACAAATTAGAAACAAAAATGATTAAGAAAAAATTGTACACATTAATTATATTGTTAGATTGACTACTACCAAACTAGATAAAAGTTACTTAATATACCGGATTAATGACACTAACTAAATAAATGAGATAAATTAGCTATTGAAATAAATAGAGCAAAGTCGATGAAATTATATTTGTGGGCCTCAATTTGAGTGATAGTATAGACTTTGTTAATGACCGACCAATATTCCGATTTTTTCAAGTGTTGGCATGGCGTTTCTATCAAATTTTTATCTTCAAAAAAAATTATTCCCATTGATATTTAGAAGTACAATTAAAATTACATAGATAGATAGGACATAACGACCACTACATATGGTTATCGGTTTTACTTATATAATTATATTCACCATTATTCCATATTCCATCCTATATATCGATTAAGCACTATAACCAACTGTCGCAGGATTCCACTTCCCCATGCTATAAGACCCACATCTTCCCTTTGAAGCTTCATCCATAGCATCCATCGTAACACCATTGTTGCACATGTTAGCAAATGTTCTTGTATGTTTCACGCCATATTGAGTTAGCGATCCACAGTATTTCTCAAATGTTCGAATCTGAATTAATCAATCAAACGTTCAAAAAGTTAGCAACAATCATATAGAACAAACAAAAACGGTTGTAAAATGAACCAAAAGTATCGAGTTTTTATGTTCACCATGGATTTAAGACAATCCCAATCGTCCACTAGGACTGATCCTGGAGCTCTCTCCTTTAGGTATTCTTGGTCTAGCAACTCTCCTTTGATCGATTCGATAGTGCTGTCCAAATGTGCCCTATGCGAAGTTATTTCCTTGATTTCCTTGAGTAGTTCAATCTTCTGCTGTGCTTCTAGTGTTGAACTCTCGTACTGTAGAATATGAAATTATGTCAATTTGTTACTAGGAAAGGCTTTAATTAATTAAATGTGTCACGAAGATTGATATTCAAACTTGGGGCAACTTGTTTTAGAGTGCTTAATCCCCTAGCAATCACATAGTTATGTGCACTTACCATTTTCCGCATTGAATAAACGTCTGCAGCTCTTTGCTCAACCACGCCCATGAAGCTTATTGATTGGAATGTATTCGAGGTGGAGTTCAAAGTCCCAGAACCTTGATAAACCGAAACAGTCTCATTGCTTATGAGTTGTGTACCATATTGCATCACATGAGATCCCACGGTGTTGTTATTTAAAGTCCTTGCCTTTACCTACAAACATTTATGCAATTTTCCATAACAAATAAGTCGTATAAAGACTTCTACCTTCTTGACACACTTAAAAGACTTTTGAATTGAATGAAGAAAAAAACCCTAATACCAACCTTCAAGTATTGTTCTTCTAACGTTTCAGTATTCAAATCTGCCACGTCACTAAGAAAACACGATACCCAAACATATATATGGAACGACATATCAAATCAATGTGATGGTGATACTGTTGCAAAAAGTGTTGCTAAAGGTAAACGGATTAAAAAAGTACCTGTCTTCCATCCATGAGATACTGTATAAGTCACCTAAGCAAGTGTTATACTCCGGAGGCGGGGGAGTTAACGACCCAGGGCAATATGTACCCCAACTACTTTCGTTTGCATTCGATGCTGTTGTAACATAGATATTCAAATCTTCTGGCAACAGGCCTTCAAAAACACTTCCACTTTCACATGCTTCGACGTATAACACCTATATTTCAACACACAAACGATTAAATTCATCCTGACTGTTTTAGTATCATTTATAATCGTTAGAAGAAAATGAAGGGTGTTACCATCTCATCGTATGTACCACTCGCATGCTTTGTTTTCAAAACCTGAATGAAATCATTCGCATAAATGTAAGGCAAGTTCGGCATACCTATGTACATAAACCAAAAGAGTTGTGTTAGTAATAGTACTATTAATAATTGAATGTTTAAGAACATATATATAAGCAAATTGTGGAAACGCTTACAGAGGAGTCCAGGGCCACCATGATCGGTGAAATACACAAAGATCTTATCTCCGGGTTTACTTGCTACAACTTTCCCGCTTCCACCTGTTAATCCCGAGGAATTGCCAAGAAGCACAGCGTAGAAATTGGCTGCTGTCACGTAATCTCCGGTGTAATCCTAGAATGAACATAAAACTTGGATAAATCAATATATGACTTATGACTATCACCTTTTGCAACGCTTTTTATTGAGCTAGTTACCATACCTTTGGCACACCAGCATAAACATCGGAGCCGTTGGGACTATTAATTATGACACCAGGCCTTGGATTCATCGTGTTATTCGCAATGTCATCATACATGAACACGATAATATTCTCGTCTTTCAAACCACCCCTTTTCAGTATTTGATATGCATGACAAACATCCGCCTAAAGTCAATGAAAATTTTAATGTTGTTAGTCTACTTTATTAGAAGCAAAATTAGCTAGTAAACAAAAAGCTAAGTAAACTAAGGACGCACCTGATGGCGATAGTTGGAGTACCCATTTGAACCGGCAACAAGAACTGCCCATTTCGTGCTATTGGCTGCTTGTGCATCATTAGTCGAAGCAAAGAGACTAAGCCGAGAAGCTTCGGAGAATTGTAACGAAAGCAAAGTTAGTAGTACCAATGCAAAGTGGAAGGCAGCCATATTGAGAAAGTGGGATGAGTTTGTTTGAACGATTTCGCCTATATATATACTCGAAAAATGTTTTGGGAAACTTTGCATATGCTGTTCACTGAACAAGAAGTTACAGTTGTCGCCAACTTTTTTTTATTTTTCTTAGAGGCGAACGACGAGACAATAAGGCAACAAGAATATCGTATGGAAAAAAGAATGATTTGTAGATGTTCGTTTTGTACGATGATATTAAAACTTGACAATCTCGAAACAGGTTTATATAAATAAAATATATGTTGCCTTCTTAGAAATAAACGAAAATTTTCTATGTTTTCTGTCTATCAATGAAATTAATTTAAAAGATTTAGGTAAATCACCACGATATATTTGTGCATTGAGTAATAATATAGTACATAAATAGAGATGATCAAGTCCTAAAATACATGGAATAGAAATGATCAAGTCCTAAAATACATGGATACAACGATAATTTAAAATTGAATAAGATCCTTTGAGATCTTATGTCTGATATCCCTCATGAGAATTTTTCTAATATATGTCCTAATAACACCTATAAAAATTATTAATTATGATAAACATTATAATAATTAAATTTAAAATGTATTAATTATAAGGAATATTATTATCATTAAATATAAAATGTATTAATAATCTCCATAATAAATAAATTTAATAGTTAATTATTGTAATATTTTTCATAATTAATATTTTTTATATTTATCATTAGAACACATATTAGAAAATCATATCTCTAATACTCCCTTCAAGCAAAGTGGTGGCGACACAACACGTAGCTTAGCACGAAATTCCTCAAATACATGACATGGATGACTCTTGGTGAAAATGTATGCGATTTGCAAAGAGGTTGGCACGAAACGTATATACAGCTGACCAACAGTACCCAATTCTCCAACAAAATGATAATCTATGTCAATACACTTAGTGTGTTTTATGATATTGGATTTTAAGAGAGAGATAAAGAGAGCTATTGTTGTCACAAAGTAAAGTTAGGTGATTCAATGTAACATTCCGTTTATCAAATAAATAAATAGATAAAATTAATGAATGAATAGTGACCCTAAAATCCATAATATTTAGCAGGGTGTTGGTTTTGGGGAGCCAAATATTATATTTTCGATTATTTGGGGGGTTAAAGTGTAATTCTAGGATTTATTTTGTAAAGACATTTAGAAGATAGTTGGTTGTTTGGTAAGTATTTGACTTATGAAAAGATTTTGAAAACTGAGAGCTGTTGGGTAAATTAAGGATTGGATTTGATAGGGATTTCAGAATTCAGGGTATAAATGGTAAATTTTGGGGCTCAGTGTGAAAAAGATATGGAAAGGAGGGACTGATAGTGTCAACATGGGATGAAGTTTACATGAAGATGGGGTATATAACCCATCACCCCGTAACATAACCCTAAGTAATGCTCATCACACACCGCCACCTTATAAACCCCAACCACCGACCGCCACCCTCCTTGTTACGACTTCCGGTGCAACTTCTTTACCTGTTGAATCAAAGCACCCGTCATCAACCACCGAGAAGCCACCGACACCATTATATTTCCAATGAAGACGATGAGCCGCCACCCATGACCTCTCCAACCGGTCGCTGCCACCTCCTAGCTATCCGGTGTTGCCGATCGAAGCCAATCATCGGTGCAGGTGCTAATAACGACGAAGGGCCACACGTGACGTCGAATCAGTGGGTTGTCAGACATATAGCATCATTGTTGTCGTCGCAGATCAACTTTACTTCCTTTGTAGGTGACGACGAGGACCACCAGCGGGTCCGTTCCTATGTTGTTGTTATTGTTGTCGTTCGAGGTCGCCATTGTCGTGGTGAAGTTCTGTCGCCGTTAGTCGTTGATGTTGCCGTCATTCGTGTTATTTTTGTTGTCGTACACCACCAGGTGGGTGGTGGTGTTCCTATCCTGAGCAAAGCGTGTGTTTCTGCTGACTGTGTGTGTCATGGTGTTTGTTTGGCTGGATTTCATGAGAAAAGCCACCACCACCACCATGAGGTGGTGGTTGTCACCTCCAACAACTGCCTGCCGCCACAAGGGTGGCTGAGTGTATATGTGTTACTTTGTGTGTGTGTTCATTTGGATATTGTTGTATAATTGTAATTAGTGGTCCGAATAATCAAGAAAATTCATAACCACCACCATGAAGTGGCGGTCGCCGTCGCGATCCATTGTTGACCACCACTACCCGAGGTGGTAGTAGGTGGTGTCCGACTTCATTAACAATTAATTAACCTAAAAGCTTAACAAATGGACTATTTGGGGTGATGGGGTTGAAAACCCTAATTAGGGTTTAGAAAACCCTATTTTTTATATGTAATTTGGAATTTTCGGGACCCGCATGTTTGGACCACTGGATTTTGAATTGAGCCCGACCACGTTGAATGTTTGGCCTAGTGGATTCATGGACTTAATGGATTAAATACTTAATAGGTTAAGTAAGAACACTTAACCCTAATCGTCATTTTATGTGAAAACCCTAATTTTCTTTGGGCCTTGAGTTGGTCCTTTCTATTAGGCTTTGGTGATTGGGCTATTAATGGGTCATCCAAGAAAAAGTATATGGACTAGAATATTTGGAGGGGCTTTAGGATAAGACCCATTGAAAAGGCTTGGGCCCAATTTGGAAAATTGGGCCATAGATAGGCCATAACTGGGCTTTGAGGATTATGAGAGGTTGGATCATTGGAATGTCAAATGTTTCGACTGGAATAAATTGGTGGGCCTTGAGGATTCTGAGAGGTACGACCATGTAGAGGTTTGGGCCAAATTTGGAAAATTAGGCCACATGTTGGGCTTTGGTTCATTGTTTAACTTTTGGGCATTTGGTGTAACATCCCGAAATATCAAGAGTAGAGTTGAAGGGCTAAAAGAGTAAATTGGGAAAGAGTAACTCGGCGAGTCCATGTGCGGACTCGGCGAGTAGAGTCGCGACTTGGTCGCGTGTTAAGTGGCCGACTCGGCGAGTCAGGGTAATGGACTCGGCGAGTAGGCGCTGAGTGGAGAAAACCCTAATTCTCGGGGTTGAGCCTTATATAAAGATCATTATGTTTCCCTCCCAGCCTCTTTATCACCCCCCCCCCCCTTGAGCCCCAGAAACCCCTAAATCACGAAGAAGCACCATTGTTGGATGGAGTGGAGCTTGGAGAATGTATTTGTGAAGGAATTTTGGGAGATTGAAGGCTTGGAGCAAGGGGCTTTGTTTGAATTTGAGTCTCATTTCAATTAGGGCATTCCTTTGAGGTAATATCTCGTTTTTTTGAGCTGCTATTTCTTAGATGCATCATTTTGGGGATGTTGGAGATCATATCTTTGGATGTATTGGAGTTTAGAGGTTAGATCTGAGGTTGCTACCTCAGATCTGGAAGGGAGAAGGTCTAGAGTGCATGAAAGTCCCTGTTTGTGAGTGGTTGATGGAGTCATCTTGTCCCAAATCCTAGCCCAATGTGCAAACGGCTTAGATCTCTTTGGATTCACGTAAAGTTTGCCACTTTACGTGATGGATGGGTTGTAGGAGGCTAGATCTATGTTTTGGATCAATTGCATGGCCTGGAGTGCTTCTGAATGGATTCAGAACGGTGATACTCGGCGAGTCACATGGGTCGACTCGACGAGTTGCTTGCAGATGGCCTGGAACTCGACGAGTTGGAAGAACAACTCGGCGAGTAGGTTGAAGATAGCCTTGGACTCGGCGAGTCTTGTCGAAGAGTCCCAAATATTCTCTGGTAGAGTCGAGAATCGGTGAGTTGAGGGATGACTCGGTGAGTCGAGTGCGAGTGGACTCAGAGTTGTTGGACTCGGCGAGTCTTGGGGTGACTCGGCGAGTTAGGTCGCAGATTGAATGAAGTTCTGATTATGGGAACTCGACGAGTCACAGAGTTGACTCGACGAGTAGGGTCAGTCAGGGGTTGACTTAGACTGAGGACTTTGATTTCGACCAAGGGTTGGTCGTTGACTTTTAGGGTTTGGTCAGCGATGTGGCCTTTGGGCCAAGAGAGAGGTAAACTAGTCTTTTACCCATGAGAGGGTGTTATGAGAGGATTTATTCTAGTCTCGAGAGTTATATTCATGAGAATATTTGCTTTACGTGTTAGGCGGTGGCGAGTTTGAGATTCCAGTGTGGGGATATCTGCTTTCTGCTTGCCAGGTGGGTCTTCTCACTATACTTTACCTTGAGTAGGTAACCAGAGTTATGTGTTCAGAGTATTTGTATGCTATATGTACGTGATGTGTTGTACTGCATTATTTCTATGTGATTTATGTTGTGCATGTTTATAGAGTTGGAACCGGAAGGTTCCCAGAGTTAGAGCCTGAGGGTTCACAGAGTTTGGGTGCACGGACCCATAGAGTTATAGCCTCGAGTGGCTAATATGTGTTATGTGTGGTATTTTGGGGAACTCACTAAGCTTCGTGCTTACAGTATTTTGTGTGATGTTTTTTTTTCAGGTTTCTTTCAGTATCACGGGACGGCACCGGCTTGATTGTACACACCAGAGAAAGAGTCATATTTTGGAGGATCCTGGTTTTCTATGCAAGTGAAAATGGAGTCATGTTTTGTAAATCAACTATGAATGAGATTTTAAACAAGTGTTTCTAAGAATAAAATGATTATTTTAAATGAAAAATTTGTCTTGAAATTTACGGTGTTACAAGTTGGTATCAGAGCCTTGGTTTGAGGGATTCGGATGCGCCTTCGGGTAAATCTGGACTCAAACTGAGGAAGTAAGAAAAGTTTTAAGGAAATAATTTTCTAAAAATGAATAAGGGTTCAAAGAGGAAGCAAGAAAGAGCAGTGTGTACAATCAGCCTGAGCCAGAACGGTGATTTCCCAAAATACCCTTATTTTTTTTTGTGTTATGAGATATTTATGATGCACCTTATGAGATAATATTGCATGCTAGAGACAGTCTAGGTATTTCATATGTTAGGACTAGAGTGGCCTGATTTGTGATGCCTTAGTCTAGGACTCGTTGTTATATGTGTTATGCTTTTGAGTATGTGATGAGTGAGAG